AGTTCAACCCTAGTTCTTTTTTATTTATTTACTTAAGCCTTTGAGAATAACAGAAAAATGGCATGTATTTCTTGATAGCGGCAGTAATTATTTGACACTGGTTTTGGAAGCAGTGGGTTACACCCTGAATGTGTTAAAATAATATATTTAATAAAAATACTTCTGCTTATCCACATCCTGTTTATACTGGAAAATATTTATAACGGGTCAATAAATCAACAAATCACTTTGTTTTGTTATAGTTTACGGTTATCGGTGAACTGAAAAGCTGTTTTGTGCAGCTTTCTTGAATGCATCATTTTACCTTTCACCTCTGAATTGTGCGTATCTTTGTTTACGGTTTACTTTGTTGGTTAGCTGTGCAACCAATTAATGTATCAATTAATATGGATACCGGATACCAGGTTTTACTTAATGAGGTGGTCAGTGGTGCTAAGTGCTAATTCCCCTTTAGCATAAAAGGAATGTCATCTTAATATGCGTTTTAATTTTTACTACTATACAGGGAGTGCAGAATTATTAGGCAAGTTGTATTTTTGAGGATTCATTTTTTTATTGAACAACAACCATGTTCTTAATGAACCCAAAAGACTCATTAATATCAAAGCTGAATATTTTTGGGATTTGGAGTGGGGCTTTTTTAGTTTTAGCTATTTTAGGAGGATATCTGTGTGTGCAGGTGACTATTACTGTGCATAATTATTAGGCAACTTAACAAAAAACAAATATATACCCATTTCAATTATTTATTTTCACCAGGGAAACCAATATAACAGCTCAACATTCACAAATATACATTTCTGACATTCAAAAACAAATCAGTGACCAATATAGCCACCTTTCTTTGCAAGGACACTCAAAAGCCTGCCATCCATGGATTCTGTCAGTGTTTTGATCTGTTCACGATCAACATTGCGTGCAGCAGCAACCACAGCCTCCCAGACACTGTTCAGAGAGGTGTACTGTTTTCCCTCCTTGTAAATCTCACATTTGATGAGGGACCACAGGTTCTCTATGGGGTTCAGATCAGGTGAACAAGGAGGCCATGTCATTAGTTTTTCTTCTTTTAGGCCCTTTCTTGCCAGCCACGCTGTGGAGTACTTGGATGCGTGTGATGGAGCAACTCGTCAGCTCCAAATTTGTATGGCCTGGCCTGCGAAAGGAGGTCAAGGAGTGGGTGGCTGCATGTGTGGCATTTCAGCACGCAAGGTTCACCAGCACACTAAAGCACCACTCCAGCCATTTGCGATTCCCGGTAGGCGGTTCGATCACGTGCACCTGGACATGGTGGGCCCCTTACCCCCCTCGCAGGGCTACACACACCTGCTGACTACGGTGGACAGGACCACCAGGTGGCCGGAGGCCGTTCCTCTGTCGTCCACGTCGGCCGCGGACATAGTTCACGCATTTCGGGACCCCATCGGACATCACCTCTGACAGGGGCCCCCAGTTTATTTCTGAGCTGTGGAAAGAGCTAGCTGGGTCTCTGAGCATGCAGGTTCACCGTACTAGTGCGTATGCAGTAGGGTTATGGGTAATGGGGCGTGTTAAGTGCCCATAGAGTTTGGCGCTCAGCGCCATGTTCACTCTCTGTTCCTGTTGTCACGGACTAATAAAGACGTGTAGAGCACCTGCGTCTCAGTCATCCTTCAACTGCCACAATGTAACATCTATGGGAAAATCATGTGTCTTAGCCAAAACTAAACCAATTATTCAGGTTTATTGTCTGGTATGACCAGAGTTGTAGAAGAGGCCATGGATTATTAATGGAGTTGGCAATAAGCGTGGGTTACAAGGTCATTTTATTTTACAATAATTGCCAACCATGATCTAATTTTTATCTGAATTTATAAATACGAACCTGCAGCGTCTTTTCCAGTGAGAGCTGTTGTCTCCAACAACATTTGGTTTGGTATATGTACCAAATAAAGTTGGTTCACCAACTGCATGTGAATATTGCATTTTTTCTTTGTAGTTTGTAAACTGCATTTTCTGGTAAATATTTTCAAAAAGCTTGTATAATAAAGAGATGTTTTGTGGGTGTGTGATGGTCTTACAGATATTGGCTTAATTAGATTACAACAATTAAATGGGATGTCTACCTTTACAGTTTCAGAAATATTAAATCCTAAATGATATTCAAGTGTGAAGCATGTTATAGTTTTGGTTATGACCTGCTGCAAACATAGGACTAATGAACTTGGGTTTGCTCACTTTTAGGAACCTCTAGTCTAGATTATGTGAATTGTTTCATGCTGGAACACTGACCACCCCAGAACTGTCCATGACTTATTACAAACCAATTTTCTGTGAACTTTGTGGTTGAAATTAGGATTTGGATTTATTGGGCATTATTGATGCTCAAGTTTCAGGTTTTATGGTTTTCCTTGTACTACATGATCCAATGCCACATGTTGGTGTGGTGATTAGTACAAGAAGAAGATAGTTGGCCTACTTCCCAGCTCATTCAGATGTTCTTTCTGTGTGTTCTTCCCAGATGTGTATGAGGTTTTTCTCTGTCTGTTTTCAGTCAAAATCACATGACATAGATCCGGTTAAATAGGCATTTATATTTGAATGTAAATAGCTGTTTGTTAATGCATGTGGCTTAGTGACATACTGGAACCTATCCAGAGTTAAATCTTGCATTCACCTTAAGTCCACAGAAATTGCGTCAAGCCACACACTGCAACACTCAGTCCTGGGCAGGATTGGATGGTTGGGTGGGCCAGATTTGCCCCGCGGTCTGCCAGTTGATGATCACTTCACTAGGGTTTGCAAGGAATGGTTGTTGTGAAAGTTTGGTTGATTAGAATTATATTTTTTACATCTATATAATATTATATGTATTCTATAGATTAAAATGAAAAAGAATGGAAAACAAGGTAGATGGTACTGCCACCATTAACGTCCCCCTGCAGGTTGTGGGTGGTTCAGGATTATGTGCTCCTTCACTCTTATTTCTTCAGGGAGTGATGAGGCTAAGGCCTATGTTAAAATAATCTGCTACTGCTGCCTAACATTTTCATTTGCTGCAGCTGCAATAAACATTTAAAACCTGATTCTGACTGCCTGTGTTTTGGGCTATTGTGAATGAAAAAGACAGATGCTTGATGGAAAAAGTGCAGAATGTGAAGATGCACTCTGTGAATGTGTAACTCAATTGGTGTTAGTTACTAATGTTAGATTTCAGTGGTTTTTCACATTTGGTTGGGTCTGCAGCAGGAAGATGCTAAGACACCAAAAGGCTTTCCCGAGCACACACAGTCACATAGCCCCACACATTCAAAGAGAATTTCCCCAAATTCTCTTCACACCAATTCTCTAAGAACACCTCTAGTCTCTGGAAACAATGGGAGATCTTCACATAACAATGGGAGATCTCCCAATCTCCCTTCTAACCCCCCACGCAGCAACAAACGGTTCTTCCAACACTGCTGAATCATGGAACAAGAGTGCCACATAGTGGCGACTGCAGGCATCACATGATACAAGAACAATAATATGATTGGCCACAAGAGGCCTAGCCTCTCTCTTCCATTGGACTACAAGATTTAAACACACACCCGGGAAGTCGAAAACCACTCCCTCATAGAGGTATATAAGCATAAACAACTAACGATACTTTAGAAGTTATTCCTGAGAAGTCAGAAGTTATTCTTGACAGGATTTGCGTATTAACTACTGTTGTACGAGATTTCCTTGAATACTTCTCCAGTCGTTTATTTTGCTTTATTGTTGGGCCTGTTTTGTTTGACGTTTTTTAAAACAAATCGACCATCTACCGGCTTCTTCCATTCCTTGCCTGAAGACACCTCGCACAGCAAGAATCTTTCACTAAGAAGAGTGGTAAAGTGCTACATAAATACTAGGCATTGGCATTTAAATAATCTGACAGAACAGATTAGTAGACTTTTACCTACGTCATACTCCAGATCAGTGAGGGAGAGTTAATACTGAGTGGATGTCTTGTTAATGGATCCAAACCGACCCATTCTGTCAGAAAATCTGATCTGGGTTCAGATGTCTGAAAGCAATAAAAGTGTTACAGTGCCACAATAACTGTGATGGAAACTGAGTGAGTGGACCAGAGGATTGAACTGCTTATTCTGGATAATCAACCATATTTGTAGCTTCCATTAACGGGTTGTGATTTTTCTCTGTTTAGGCAACATTCCCAATAAAGAAATTGTATTTCACACCATTAAGAACTGTGACTGTTAGCACTTCTAATGGTGAGACTTAGAGAGATACATTTCCATTGTGTTGTGTGCTTTTATTTCTTTTGCAGCCCAGAGAAGGCAGCTACATTTGGAAGATGCACATGGTGAAAGGTCAAGAGGGCCTGGGTATACAGATCACAGGCTCCAGGCGCTCTCCTCATGGCATCGTTATAGCTCACATAGAAGACGGTGGAGCCATTTACAGGTAGAACTACTACAAGTAAAACCCAACATTTTTTATTTACATGTTTTTTCTATACTATCTCTAGTGTAATTTTCAGAATAACATACATGAAAAGCACATAAAATGTTCTGAAAAATACAGCTGCTAGAGAGGATGCCAGAAAAAACCTCAAGCAAAATGCTAACTCACTCATACCAGAGTCCATGGGAAAAAATAGCTGACAGAGGTAAGTGTTAAGCCAGTGGTCTACTGCTGCTATGTTGGTTACGTTGTTTTACTTGGAGTATTAGGTTTTCAGGGGGTGGAACAGTAATCTTCTCTCCTGCTACCAGGAGGCCCAGGTCCCAGAATCCCCAAATGTTGGGTAGTGTTAGGAAGGGCATCAGGAGTAAAAACTGTTGTGGCCGTGGTGACTTCTGTTAAAGGAACAAGCTTGTGAAAAACTCCTGTGTATTCATGTAAAATCTCTGGGAGTTATACGCAAGAAATATTTTAGTCAAAATAGTCTGTTTAAGTGTACTTTATACAAGTACCTAAAATAGTAAAATGTATTCCTTCACGCTTCTAAGTATCACTCAGTATCATTCATCTCTAAAATATCCTCTACTGATTGATGCATTATGGGACAGTGATTATGTTATTCGTCAGCTGAAACACTGTTTATCCTGAAACGATGGTAGAATAGAATACCAATCTGATTTTCCAACTAGCAGCTAATGTTTTATTGATCCTATGCTTATCTGCTGCTGCTTCTCAGCAAAGGAAACAAAGTTGTTACTGATGGTTTTCCTGTCATGTATCATGACACGTATAGTTTTTTTTAGTCTAAACATGGAGCAGCTTTTTACTGCAGTGTTTTGATGGTAAATAGTTCAACTTTGTGTGTGTGTGGGGGGGGGGGGGGGGGGGGTCAGGGATGGCCGTCTCTATGCAGGTGATGAGTTGCTGATGATCAATGGTCAGTCTCTCGTGGGTCTCACTCATCAAGAGGCTGTAGCTATCCTCCGCTCCACCACCGGTCTGGTCCAGCTGGTGGTGGCCAGCAGGGTGAGTTCACAAGCACACACACATACACACATAGAGGCTGTAGAACAGCAATACCGCAATACAGCAATATTATTTTTCTATTCTAACCTCTATAATATAACTGTAATGGTTGGAGGATGATTCAAGTGTCCATGGCAGAACATAAAGTATTGGAACAGTTTTTACTGAACAATGATGCCAATGGTGGCTATACAAAAACGTCAGAGATAGGAATGCCAGACAAATACCGTATTTTCACGACCATAAGGCGCACCGTATGAAAAGGCGCAGTCTCATTTATGTGTGCCATTTCTGTATTTAACACACACATAGGGCGCACCTGACGATAGGGCGCAAGTTTTATATACATATCCTTTACTACCATACGCACGTCAGCCTTACAACAACACACACGCATACAAGTGTGCGTATTTTAAAAAATAAATAAAAAAATAGATCGAGAGCAAAACTGAGTATGGTTGTGCTTTATTTAAATATTAATTATGATGCGCTTGTCGGCGATGTGCTTCTCGCAGTAGGACCGAAAGTTCGCCAGCTTTTCAGAATAATCCGCCGGACGTCGCTGCGCTACCGTAGTCCTGGTCCGGATGGAAAAATGGCACCGTTTCATAAAACGCCAGCACCAAGACGGACCTCCTTGGAAATGTTCAATTTTCATTTCCTCTGCTAGCGTTACTGCTTTGAGTCGGATGGTGACAGTCGAAACGCTCCTCCCGCTCGCTCTTTGCTCGACGATCCATAGCTCGAGTCTTTCCTCCAACTCCGGCCACCTCGCCTTATGTCCGCGGAAACTCAGCTGAGTCTTCTTCACCTGTCGGAGCTCGTTCTCCAGCTTCCTCCACTTGCGAACCATCGACTCGTTTATTTTATATTCTCTCGCTCGATTCCCATGTTCCTCGGCGTAGCTGATAGCCTGCAGTTTAAAGCGAGCTTCATAAGCCTGTCTCTTTGCCATTTTCAGGGTTGTTAAAACAGCAATGTTCTGCATAAAGCACATACCTGTTCTTTTATACACAATCCACGCCCACACATCCCCTCTTTAACGTTCTCATGTTCTCTACCACGTCCTCCTCAAGGTGGTCTCTATCACGTTCGCCTTACAACACACACATAGGGCGCACTGCACTATAGGGCGCACCGCACATTTTGAAAAAAATCTAAGTCGTTTATATGCGCCTTATGGTCGTGAAAATACGGTAGAAGAAAGGAATGAAAAAAAGATTTATGGACACAATGAAGGAGGACGTGAAGAGGATTTTAGATTAATAGACTGATGAATAGACAGATCCAGATAAGAGAGGAGATTGTGAAATCTGGAGATGATGACACATGATTTGCTGAGATGAAATAGTGTGGAAATTCATGATAAAAGTTTGATGATAAAATATTGGTGTAAGATCCTTGAAGAAGTTTAAAAAAGTGTCAGCCATAAAAAATGTATTTATTTTTAGCTTTGTTAGTTACATTTTGTGGCGCTTTGGCCCAGAGGCAGTGTCTCTGTCATTGGTGTGGAACCCCAGGGTTCACCTCCTGGACAAGTTCGAGTCCCGGTTGGGGCGGTTGGTGCCTTCCAGTGGACTCACCACCCGTGGGAAGGTTTGGGGGGGGTTGGTTCAGTGCAGTGTGATTTGAGTGGCGACTGCTGCTGCCGCGACCCGGTAACGGATAAGCGGATGAAAATGGATGGATGGATGGATGGGTGGATAGTTACATTTTCTGCTAATTAATCCCAACTCCTGCTCTGTTCTTCCTGTGTCCTGTAGGAGGAGTCAGACGTTGGAGTCGATCACTTCCCCTCCACCAGTCTGCCAGACCTGGTCAGCACCTGCGATTGCTCATCAGCGCTCTCTCACTCTTCTTTCCCTCGCCCACCCCAGATCTCCAGAAGCAGCATAAGTCTTCACAACATTCTCCCGGTACACACAGATACATAAAGACTTAGGTGTGTTTGATGGTGTGAGATTATTCAGCAGTGTTCAGATTTAACTGAAAATTGTTTTGGTTTTCTCCTTGAAGGTGTCTAACCTGGAGAAACTGGAAGAGCAAAGTCCAGCAGCAGCCCTGTACCCACCAAACTCAGCGGTCGGTCCCAAGGTCTGGTATCTCAACCTACAGCCAAACAGTTAAACTGTGTGGAAGAAAATCTAAACCTAAACAGTGAGAATCATAAACTCTTCAGGAAAAGTAGAACAAGCTCATTTCTTTTCACACAAACAAGTGGTGGTCACTTAAAGAATGTGTTTTAAAACAGGACCCTGGTGTGGAACCCTGGAGCATGTTTATTTTTTTACTCAGACAGTACAGTTCACTTGCAATCATCACTGCACACCATAAGCTCGACAATTTCCCCACTGATTTTTTTTCACCACAACTATGTGGAAAATGTATAGAAAGTAAGTAAGTAAGAAAGGAATGTTTTGGGTTTCTTTTTCTTTTTCCTGGATCAGGCGGGAGCAGTCATTTGGAGTCTGTGGGCGAAGACGACGAGCTCTTTGTAGCGAACGGTGTGTGCAAAGTAGCAGACAAACCTCCGCCTGGTCGACGTAAACACTCTACCTCAACAACTAGATACAACTGGAGTGAGACAGGTCAGTGAATGCCTCACTTGTTTTTCTTTCCATGTATCTTATAGTTGGATCCACATTTAATAGCTGCCAAGTACTTTTCAACAGAATAAACCAGATTAATCAAAACAAAGCAAACAAAAGTTTTTCAGACGCTACACATTCTAGTGGGTTTCCAGAATGTAATTATTTAATAAACAACAAATATAAGAGCACACAGACCAAAGCCTCCTCACTCACCATCATGACGCAGTAATTGCCTAATTAAGTAAGTGAAATAAAATTCAGAGGACGTCATTGTCTTTGTGTCTTAGTTTTTTATGTTTGGTGTCTGTGAACCCTACAGAAAGCATCAAACTCTGATGGGTATAAATAAGCATATTGTTTTTGGGAAAGAAGAAGGCAACTACTGTTTCTTCACCTTCTTTGTTGCTTTTCTCCCTCTTTTCATTTTCCCAGGATTATCATATCATTAAGAAATCAGCTCGCTCCCTGAGCACCGTTCAAGTGGAGTCTCCATGGCGTCTGGCTCAGCCATCCATTATCTCTAGTATAGTGCTGATGAAAGGCCAGGGCAGGGTGAGTGTACTGTTTTGACATGTGTGCATAAATAAGGCTCTGTGTGGGTCACCCCACAATAACACACACACACACAGACCAACACATACACACATATATTATTAACCATACATTTACATTTCAGTTATACATTTATAACATCAGCTGTTATTTTTAATTTAACCTCTGTCTCACTCCTGTTATTCAACCCAGGCCATGACAAATCCCACTAGTCACTGTTGTGAATATTTCAAACCTGGATTTACTATAAAAGTAACAATTATTTATCAAATGCCAATTCTGCTGAAATGGAAAATGTTGTAAAAAAATAATATTAATACTACTACTACTACTACAACTAATAATAATAATAACAATAATAATAACCATCCATCCATCATCAACCACTTAACCGGGGCCGGGTCGCGGGGGCAACAGTCTGAGAAGGGACACCTAGACTTCCCTCTCCCTCGACACTTCCTCCAGCTCTTCTGGGGGGACCCCAAGGCGCTCCCAGGCCAGCCGAGCAACGTAGTCGCTCCAGCATGTCCTAGGTCTTCCCCTAGGTTTCCTCCCAGAGGGACAGGACCCAAGCACCTCCCGAGGGAGGCGTCCGGGGGGCATGCGATGTAAATGCCCAAGCCACCTCAGCTGACTCCTCTCGATGTGGAGGAGCAGCAGCTCAACTTTGAGCTCCTCTCGTGACAGAGCTCCTCACCCTATCTCTAAGGGAGCGCTCTGCCACCCTGCGGAGAAAGCTCATTTCAGCCGGGATCTCGTTCTTTCGGTCATGACCCAGAGCTCATGACCATAGGTGAGGGTAGAAACATAGATCGACCGGTAAATCGAGAGCTTTGCCTTTCGGCTTAGCTCCTTCTTCACCCCAACGGACCCCTACAGCAAC